AACCAAAGCTGGAAAAAGGACTTCATAAAGAAGGAAAATTAGGGGTCCATCCTCACTTGCGAACATAAAGCAAAAAATCATAAAAAAATTTGGCAAATAAGTCTTAACAATATCTATACAACATGCTACAGTGAACAATGGGTTTATTCCAGCAATGTAAGAATGATTTAACATTAGATAGTTTACTGGTATGTATCACTATATTACCAGATTAAAGAGAAAAACACACACACACACACACAGTATGCTCATAACGTGGATGCAGCAAAAAAAAAAAAAATCATTCAACAAAATTCAATGTTCAGGTATTAATAATGTCCTTTTAAGCTGAAGAGGGTGTCTATCAAAAATCTATAGCAAATAATAAACTTAAAGATGCAAAGTTGGAAAGATTCCTTTAACTATAAATGAAGCAAGGATATCTGTTATCATCAACTTATTTTAAATTATCCTATATAAAGATCTTCGCTATCAGATCAAATCAAAAAATAAAAAGCAGAGATAGGAAAGAAACTAAACTCTCATTATATGCAATGGTAGGCTTCTCCACAGAGAACATACAAGTGAATTTCCATTATAATTTGTCAAAAAGAGGACCCATAAGTTCTGAATACATTAGCAATATAAAGCAGCCAATTGGGTTGATACTCTAGGCAAAAGAATGAGCATGTGAATTTAAATGAAAGATACGATTTACAGTGTTCACAATATTTATGATGGAATATTTATAGATAAACCTAAAAGAGATGTGCCACAAGGCTTATGGAAGAAATTATAAAACTTATATAAAATAAGGACTAAATAAAAGTGATATGACTTTCGTGGATGGGAAGACTTGATATTTAATAAGGCTTTGAACTTATGAATTGAATACAAATTTAAGCAAAATTGCAGACAGATATTTTGTGGACTTGATAGTGAATCCTAAAACTTAAATGAGAGTAATGGCAAGGATAACTAATATAATTTTAAAGAAGTACAAGGTAGGGGACTGAGCTTTCAGATATCAGGACTTGCTACAAAATCATTGCCATTAAAAAAAAATGATACTGTTACAAAGATCACCACTTAGACCAGGAGGCGAGAGGAGACAAACTGCACACAAACTCATGTATATTTGTGACTTTGATCTATGGGGAAGATGACATTACAAAATATTGGAGAAAAATAATCCACTGAATGGCATTGGGAATTTTCTCTATTCATGCGGAAAAGATAAAGTCAGATCATACCCTATATAAACATAAAGCTCTAGGTGGACTAAAGATTTCCAAGTGAGAAGCACAACTTTAAAACATTTTTTAAAAATACAGGGGAATATCCTCATGACCTCGAGCGTCATGAAGAAGAACCGCCCTCCCCCCACCCCCATGAACCATTGGGGAAAAGTAGGCAAATTTGACTAAATTAAAATAAACACATCGGATTATAAGACATCGTTATCAGTTGTAATGACGAGCTCCAAACTGTGCATAAACTGTTGCAACATATATAGACAATAATTAACTTTACAAATTAATAATAAGAAAAGACACAAGAGCTCCATAAATAGACAAAGGACGAATTTCCAGAAGAGGACACCCGCATGTTCAGAAAACCAAGGAAAAAGCTGCTACACGTCCCATGATATCAATTCAAAACAACTGAGACTCATTTCACTCTGATGGCAAGTATTAAAAAGTCTGACAAGTACAAATATAGAGAAAACATGGGGAAGACTGGCTTTCACACACTGCTCGGGGAAGTGTGAGTGGGACGACTGCTTGGAAACATCCTCGTGGAAAACCACCCAGGGCTCCGGCTCCTGCTACAGGCGCTGCCTGCAGCCCAGGGGACAAGCACAGGCCGCTCAGGGCAGCAGAAGGGGGGACCCACACAAGGCCTGACAGCAGAATAGATAAACACAGCAAAGCACGCCCCAGTTCGACTGCACGAGGAGCGGTTTTTCTTATGCGCCTATATCACAAGAAAGGAAGTCATGATATGGGTGATAGGATGCTGTTTATGTAGAAATGGGAAGAATGCAAACACAACAGTGACCAGTGTATCCCAGAACAGGCAGAGGTACTGATGTACCTGCTGAGGGGAGCAGAGGGCAAGACGCAAGAGGTCTGCTGCGCCCTGTAGGCCATCTGTGGGGTCCTGCGCCCATGGGCTCCTGTGTAGTGGCCGGCAATGGCTTGACAGCGCTGTGTCTTTAACCCCAGCGCCACCAGGGAGGCCAATTTTGACCATTTTACAAGGACAGGTTTATTAGGAAAAGGAGAAAGAAGAGGGGCGCCTGCGCAGCTCCGGGGGATCAGGAGAGCTGTTGCTGGCAGCGGTGTTGCAAAGGGAAAGGTTGTGAGAAGAAACGGTATTGACCTCTTTAGGAGACACGCTTTGTGTGCTTGTTTTTGATGTCCTTGAGCAGCGGGGCGTGCTTACTTTGGCTTGCTGGGTCAAGAGTTTTGGAATTTGCTCTGGAACTTGGTGTGCTTGTGTTCTGTGGGAGCCGTGCTCTGGCGGCTGGAGGTGACTTTTCCACGTGTGTAAATGCTGGCTCTGTCAGGGACACCCTGTATCTGACTCGTTGGCGTCTGTGACTATCGCGACCCTCAGCTTACCCCGGCTGTCTCGGGGGCTCTCAAGGAGCACTTTCCCTGCCTGCTCTGCTCTCGGCTCACAGCCCACATTGCTCTTGGACATCTGTCCCCCCGCCGGAGGGGTGGATTTTGAAATCCTGTCACTGAAGGCAGCAGCTGCGGTTGCTGTGAGGGGACCCGTTAGAGTATGGTGAAGCGGGAAACTTCGGAGCCCTGAATGGCTGCCGTCTTCTCCTGAGTGGGCTTCCTCTGGCATAGTCGGGGCGGGGGGGGGAAATCTGTGCGGATCCTTGGGTTTTCTCCAAGTCTGTGGTCCCTACAGCCAGAGGCTCTGGTCCCTGCTGTGGGCCAGAAGGGGACCGGGAGCAGATGAACCGGAGGGTTGCAAGGGGTGCAAAGGGGCCATTGCCCTCTGGCACGCTCTCCTCTGTCCCCAGCAAGCAACCTTACTGCACAATGTCTCTGGATGTGGCTCACTTCCAGTTTGGGGGAGTTGTCTCGTGGCGTCTCGAGGACGGGCCTGCCCACCTGGCTGCCTTGAGAGGTCCACCTGGGGGCCCTGTCTCCAGAGGGTTTCCCTGTGCTGGTTAGGGTGGCTGTCGCCCTCCCTCACGCCCTCCAGTGGTGAGGCCGAGAATAACGGGTGGCCTGGGGATCCCGGGACTGGCTCCAAATGCAACTTCCTCGCGTCAATTCTGCGACTTTCCAGTAATTCTCTGGACTTCAGCTCCGTCATGTGCAAACTGGAATGGGCGTCTGAAGACCTGTCTCAACCTTCCATGGGAATAGTAGCGCCGTGACTAAAGACAGGGCTTAGTCTGATTGGCGCCCCCCAGCTGTAACTGGCCACTTAGACATATTGTTTGACTTGCACAGAGTTGCAAAATTTTTTGAATGGGTTGCCAATATTTCAAAACTAGGAGGTTGCATATGGAAAAAGAGATCCTACCTTATTTTGAAAACCAGGAACCCGTGGCAGGGTTTGGGGACCCACACCTGCCGAGCCGAGCGCACGGCTGCACGTTGGGGTTTGGGGAGGGGGGGGAAGGGTGTGTATGTGTGTGTGCCTCTGACGCCAGCCACTTTGTTGATTTGGGTATGTACCCAGCCCTGAAGATATTTGAGAGGAAGCACAGATTTTGGAGCCACTCCCCAATCCCCTGACCTTGGACAAATGTGCTAACCTCTCTGAAGCTGTTTCTTCATCTCTAAAGTGGGATGTACCACCTTCCTGCACATCCCCCCACCCTACCCCCTGCTGCATGAGGGCCGCAGGTAAAGAAGTTGCTGTTTTATTATTATTATTATTTTTTAATTATCAGTGTCAAAATACCAGGTTGAGCCCATCTGGGACAACTTTTGCATGTATTACAGTGACAGAGATCTACTACATGGGCAAATTGTCCAAGACAAACTCAAGCTGCATTCCTAGTCTGGCAGCTGTGGTGGAAGGTTGTGAGCCTCTGGGCCAGAGGTTAATGCATGTCTGTGAGAAGGGCCAGAGTGCAGGAGGGGACTGCCCCAGTAGCGCATCTCCTCTTGTGGGGTCTAGGAGGAATGGTGTGGTGCCAGGATAAGGAGGCTAAGTGGAAGAACGTGAGTCGCCCTCCTGAAATCACTGCAGCCTGGCTGGTAGGAGAGAGCCTCAGAAGCACAGGTTTACTGGGGGGGACCTCATTAGCGTCCAGCGGCTGACGAGCCTAGATACCTGGTTTCTCACTTCAAAGCTCCCTTTGCCCTTGTATTGTCCCACCCTGCTCTGGTGCTGCTACAGACCCACCAAGTCTTCAGAGCACCACCCCGATACTGATGTCCGGCCCCAGTGTCAAGACACACTGGCGTTTCTCAGGACATGGAGGCTTCCATGAGACCTTGTCTCTAGGCGGGACAGAAGACGAAGGTGTCTTTAGATTCGACAGAAGGGAAGAGTTTTTCTCCCAGCGAGGTGGTAGAACACTGTGTGCTCAAGGGGGACTCCTGGTCGAGCCTACAGTGCAGGAACTGGAGGGGCTCACTTGGTGTCTGGTTCCCTGGTCCTCCCTGAAGGTATTAAGAGCCAACCTGCATCCCCTTTCAGGGTTGGCACCAAGCAGACAACTTGTCACTATAGTAAGCAGGGCATGTTCTCCAGAGGCTGGCCTCTTGGGGTTAAGTAATTCTTCCTTTCGGACACTCCTTGTGCCCCACCCCATATGCTTCCGGGAGCAAGGGATCTCCGAGATGGCTCCCAGGTAGGTTAGCTCCTTTGGCTAAGTGCTTAAACTAAGACGTGCCCCAGCTCTGGCCTGCTGTCCAGCACTGCCATCCACCCCCACTCACGCCTCCTGGTTTTAGCTCAGCTCTTCCTTTTGATTGTGACCTCTCCAACATGGCACACCTGGCCCCATCCTGCTCCCGCCTCACCCCCTGGCTTACCTGAGATTCATGTCCCCCTTCATGGCCAGACTGAAGATATTGGACAGGTTCCCCCCTGGCGAGCAGCCACAGATCAGGATGGCCAGCGCCTCAATGTCGTTTAGCCGGAAGATCTTGCCCAGCACAAAGGCAGTGAGGGGCATGATGCCATACTGGGCCAGCAGGGCAATGGTCAGCCCTTTAGGCTTCCAGAAGTGAGCCTTGATCTTGCTAAACTCCATGGTACAGCCCAGCGAGAGCATGATGATGAGCAACAGGATCACCAGGATGATGCTCAGGGCCAGGTCGGTGGGACGCTTGCCGAAGTTGGGCGGCAGGGTGAAGTTGACCTGGGTGGTCGCGTTGAGGACCTCCATCCTCTGTGTGGCGGCAGCAGGCAGGGCCGGCACACCTGCGTCCGCCTGCTGACTCCTCTCCCTGCCCCGTCCTTGCTGGTCGACTTCTTCAATCACCTCCCAGGGCACAGAGTTTGAGGACAAAATGTAGCTCTGGGCAAATAGTAGGATTATGCAACAGACAGTGCTGTTTCTCTGGCTGTGGCCCCAAGGGGAGACAACCCAGACCTTTTCTGCCTGGTCTTTCCTGTCTCTCCCCAACTCCTGGACCTCTGTTGCCTTCTTGGTGCCACTTACTCTCCTCCAGGACCAACTTCTTTCTTTCTTATTTGTTTTTATTTAGTTATTTTTGAATATAAGAACTGGGGTACAGACCAGAAATGTGGGGGGTGAGAAGATTCAAGAAAGTCAGAGTGGGGAGCACAGCAGGCAGATTGATTGAAATAGATTGACTGAAATACACTGCTGAGGGGAGCAGTGGGTGAGACAGGCGAGGTCTGTTGCGCCATGTGGGTCAGCTCCCTGGCCAGGGATAGAACTGTTGCTGCAGTGGCTGTGGACAGCTTCATAGTGCTGTGCTTTAACTTTAACTTTTTGGGAACAAGAGGGCGGATTTCTCTCTCTCTCTCTTTTTTTTTTTTTTTAAAGATTTATTTATTTAGTCATACAGAACTGGGGTACAGGCCAGAGATGCGGAGGGAGAGAGGATTCACCAGAGACAGAGCAGGGAGCAGAACAGGCAGATTGACGAAGTACACGGCTGAGGGGAGCAGCGGGCGGGTCAGGAGAGGTCTGCCGCGCCATGTGGTCACCTTCTGGGGCAGGCGGGGATCGAACTCTTGGGGAAGTAGATTTAGCGTCTTAGTGTGGTGCTTTAACCCGCTGCACCACCAGAGAGGGCCTGATTTCTCTCTTTCACTCCCAGCCTAGTATTTTCCATAGGTGTTCAGCCTAAAAGCTGTTCAGGGCCTGCCCCAACCTCTGTCCAGCCCTGTTCACTACCTGGCACCTTAGTTTCTCATCTAGGGCCAGGTGTCCTTCCACACCCATGGAAGGAACCACCATCTGGCTTAAGCAACCCGACTGTCATCACCATCAGCTTCATGTTTTCTCTTCAATGCATTTGCTGCTTCATTGGCTTTATTTTTGTTGCCACCATGTGTGTGGTAATAAGCATGCTTATGGACTCAATGAGTAATGGGTTAATAAGAACATTCTGAACTGCTGATGTTGTAGGACCGATACTTTTACAGCCGGAGCCTGTGAGATGGGCACTCACATTGTAAACGTTTGGCCAGGAAGGGACATTGGAGCCCCTATTTTAGACATGGTCATTGTGTCAGTTGTCAAAGCATGTGATCTGTTAGCAACTGAGCAAACACTTATTGGGGGGCTGTTATCCTCCTGCAGAAGGAGATGCCTTTTTTGGGAAAGACAAGCCTATCCTTTGGAGACACTGAGCAACATTGGTTGACTATGGAATGGTTATGCCTTGATCAGTGGCGGAGGGTCTGAGTGCTTTGACGCTTACTGTACAATAAAAAATTCCTTGGGGGAGAAGAGGTCAGCATGATACTAGGCTGCTAATGGCACATCATTGGCATCAACGGTGGCTTTCTCAGCATGGTTTGAATAAGTGTGTGCATCATCTAACACTAAAACTGTGGTCACATGTCAGGGACAAAACCCCACACTTGACTCAGAACTTTTGGCTCCTACTTTGCCATCCTCAGTCCTTCAGGGTTTGTGCCATGTTGGTGCATCTTTCAGCATTCTCTTGGGAGAAGCCAGCTTGCCAGATTCCATGATATTGGTGATCAGACTTCTCAAGCTAAATCACTCCCATTCATATATCTCAATTCTGATCTTGTATTAAGTTCTTTGCCAAGCATGGTTTTCCCAGACCTTGGTGCACCTATGAGCAGGATGTTCTAAAGAAACTTGTCCTC